GCTCACGATCCACGAAGTAGCGGTTTCCAAAGATCAAGTTTAGGGTTTAGGGTTCACGGTCTACAGTTTATATAAACCCCCTGCGTCATGCTATAATATCCGAAGGAGCTTCATGCATGAGGGGTGGCTGCTCTGTTGAAGATTTACACAAGAAGGTCTTCATTCAAGCGGCAATAGACCCTACTGATAAGCTGAACAAGAGATTGCGAACACTGATGAGCTGATCCAACAATTACGACCCGAAACCCTCAAGCCCTAAACCCTACACTCTAAAGGCCTAAACCCTCAAGCCCTAAAGCCTAAACCCTAAAGCCCTAAGCCCTCAAGCCCTAAACCCTAAACCCTAGAGCCCTAAACCCTCAAGCCCTAAACCCTAAACCCTAAAGCCCTAAACCCTGAAGCCCTAAACCCAAGACCCTAAAGCCCTAAACCCTCAAGCCCTAAAGGCCCTCACCTCTGGCCCAAACCTCTCATTGGGACTCGTCCCGGCGACGGGCACAGCATCCGAAGTAAACGAAGAGCTCGGACAGGAAAGGAAAACTGGGCGTAGGGTTTAGGGTTTAGGGTTTCGCGGTTTGGTAAAGAAAGTCAGTTTAAGTTACCATAGCAGAAGGGATCTATAGTAAATCTTATGTGGGGTCCAGCGAGGGGTAGATAACCCCTACACCCTAAACCCTAATCCCCTTAACCCTAGTATTCCCAAATTCTCTCGAGCAATCCCTAAGGTTCCCTTACCGTTCCTGAAGGATCCTTTTTGCCCTGATCCGCCCTCCCTTAAGGATGCTAATGTAGGAGCCTGAATCATTAGATATAGGGTTTTGGGGTATATTATAGTATGGAAGCCCCAAAATAATATAGGTAATTGCTGAGAACCCTGTATTATAGCCTATAACCCAAAACCCTAAACCCTAAACTGTGTACTGCAATCTTAAGGCGCTGAATTTCGGATACGATTGCCATCATAAGGAAACCAGGCTTCAGATGTTTTCCTGTGAACCCACCGGCAGGAACTTACTTGAAGTTCTCATAACCCGGGGTTCCTTCTAAGGGTTTTTAGGGTTTAGGAACTTTGCTTTATGATACAATCATACCTTAACCTACCAAAACCCACTTTTTTGTAGGGTCCCTAAAGATTCCATACTAGGGTCCGCAAGAAGAACCTACCAAAAAGTAGGTTTTGGTAGGTTAAGGTAGGGGTGTATAGTAAACACTGTGGCTTCCTTGCTATGGCCATTTGAACTACAAGTCCCTATAACCCTAAACCCTAAACCCTAAACCCTAAATAACCCTAAACCCTAAACCCTAAACCCTAAACCCGAAGTGAGATAATTAGGTACCTGGGTTTAGCGTAGTATATGAGTACTAGGCGCTGGGACCCTCCGGGTCCAGGCAAGAGAAAGTGTGGCGTTCAGGGTTTACTGCTTAGGGCTTTAGGGTTTGAAGTTTAGGGTTTAGGGTTTTAGGGTTTGAAGTTTAGGGTTTAGGGTTTTAGGGTTTGAAGTTTAGGGTTTTGGGTTTGGGGTTCAGGGTTTAGGGGCTTAGGGTATAGCGTTATGGGTTTGGGAGGTTGGGAATAGGGTTCAAGCTCGCAAGGCTGCGGACAAGCAGTTCAACCAACAAATAATGATACTAGAAGGCATCATCTGAATCTCTCCCCTCACGTACATGCATGCATGCGTGCGCATAATTACATAAATCGCGCGTGTGCCCCTAGGAAAAAAGTCCTTTCTTGGAGGATCGTGGGACTTAGTATTAGTAAACAAAGGTTGTAAGTGCCCAAACTGGAGCTATAAGAGTGTATATACGAATAGTTACCGTGTTCATAGCCCTATAGTTACTAAGTCTCATGGTCCTCCAAGTACTATAGAGGCCTAAATAATTCCCAATACTTTTGTGGGGGTTCCTTATTATGATTATAGTATAATGTACCCCAAAGCCCTTTTCTAATTAGTCAGGCCCCTATATTACACACACACACCAAAAGACAAGGCAAAGTCGCTCGTCATGAAGTCCCGGCTTGTCGTCAGCCCCTGAAGGCCTGCGATCAGTATCGGATGCACCCACTCGGAGGTTCTTGGGTAGTTTAGGACTTGGGTTTAGGGTTTAGGGTTTAGGGTAATTTTAGGTGGAGGTGTAAGTCCTTTGATATTCGTTATAACTAGAAATCCCCTACTTATAACCCTACCTGTAGCTCCCCATAAACCTCCAAGTAGGGTTCCGGCTAAAGAGGTCTATAAGGGTCGCTTATGATAAGGGTATATTTAAAGGACCCACCGAGTGCTGCAGTTCAGCTTCTCTGTTTGCCGTCTGCGAATCGTCGGGCTGAGGCCGTATTGGGGTGTCGGGGTCTCGGGTTTGGGAATGTATAGGGTTTTGGGTTTAAGGTTTAAGGGTTAAGGGTTTAGGGTTTATGTTTTTGGCTTAAGGGTTTATATAGGTGTTGGGGTTTCTGGTTTGGGAATCAGGGTCTATGGACATGTACAGACTAACCGTTTATGAATCGGTGTCAACCCCTAGCTCTAAACCCGTAAACTAAGGATTCAGGGGATTTAGGAGTATCGGATACGGTTTAGGGTTTAGGGTTTAGGGATTGACAGAGAGCTACACTTAAAGCTACGCGCTTTCGTGAGATGTTGAAGGGCTCCTTAAAAGCTTTCCGAGTTGCAGCGCTATGTTGTCGGTCGGTTTGGGGTTAGAAGCCATACAACTTGAATAGCATATACTCAGGCCTCAAGAGCTTTCTATATAGGCACTTGAGTGGCAAAGTATCTGGGAGGGAGTTTCCGAAAATAAGGGGTACCTTATTTTGGGGTCCGTATAACAAAGGTCCTACTATTTGGGCTACTTTGTTGGGGTCCCCTATTTTCGGAAACTCCCCATATATTACGCAAAGGCATGGACCCTTCCGGACAGCTTCGATGGTTTCGTTTGTGGTTCAGGATTACGAGTTTATGGTTTAATTAGGAACTTGATAAGCCGAGGCTTTGTAAGGCTTGGGGTTGGTTTAGGGTTTAGGGTTTAGGAACTTGATACACTAAGGCTTTGTGGGGCTTAGGGTTGGGTTTATGGTTCAGGGGGTAGTATCCAATGCTTCCCATGATGCGAATTTTGGTCCGGGCCCGATTGTCGAATGCCCAATTGTACAGGGTTTAGGGCTTAGGGCCTAAAGCCCTCAATCCCTGGACCCCAACCTGTTTGTCGGAGTCGGTGCTGGCCAGTCCACTTTCTTCGCGCTGCTGGCAGAAACTTCCTTGGTTATCCTACTGCGCCCAACATAGCGTTTCGCAACGCATTTGCAGTGTTCTATCGTGGTATCCCAAACCCTAAACCCTAAACCCTAAACCCTAAACTCCGAAAGCTGTTGGACCTCAGGGTTTAGAAGGGTTAATGTAGGGGCCTTAATAATTAGAATAGGGTTTGGGGTCGTATTATACTATACTTATAATAAGGAACCCCCACAAAAAATAATGACCAATACTGTTTTGGGGGGCTCCTTATTATGATGATAGTATAGCGGGCCCCAAAACCCTATTCTAACTATGAAGGCCCCTTAGAGTATGGCCGGTACAAGTATGGTGTGTCGGGTCAGGGCAGCCTAAACCCTAAACCCTAAACCCAAAACCCTAAACCCAAAACCCTAAACCCTAAACGCTAAACCCTAAACACTGAAGGGCTGACTTCCGGATGAAAGACGTGGCGTGGCTTCGGGAAGTCGAGAGCCGAGGGATGCCGCTACTTGGAGGATCATGGGACCTAGTAAGTAAGGTTATTAACTACCTTTTTAGGGTTTAGGGTTTAGGGTTTAAGGTTTAGGGTTTAGGGTTTAGGGTGGTTATAAGTACTTGTAAGTATAGCTACCTTATGTGTAACCCTAGTTACTAAGTCTCATGATCCTCCAAGTAGACCCTAGTTACTAAGTCTCATGATCCTCCAAGTAGATTCCTAAACCCAAGCTCGAATGACGGGGTACGAGAAATCATAACTAAGGATAACTGGGGTGTAGGTTTGGGGCCCTGAAAAGTATTTGTGACTAGGTACCTCTATAGAAAACCCTAGGGGAAATTTTAAAGTGTCACACAGTGCCACCTAGATAATAATATGTCGGCATAACCCTTATCCCAATCAGCACGGCCCCTATGATCAACCTAGAGCCTCCAATACCCCCTTAATTAAGGGGGCCGTAAGAATTTCCCGATCTAGCCCCTATAAGCCCCAAAAGCCGTCAACCTAAACCCTAAAGACCCAAACCCCAAAGCCCTAACCCTTCAGCTTGCTATCTAACCCTTCAGCCTTCTATCTAACCCCTAAGATGTCAAGCCTTAAGCTGTTAAGCCTCATGGAACCCCTCAAAGAACCCTTTGAAGCGTGTCCTTTCGGAGGGCCTTGAAACACCAGTCGTTGTGTTTACCAGCTCGGCTTTTAGAAACAATGGTGACGGAGGAGAACCCCAGTTGCTGCACCACCATCTCAACGTCACCAATCTGGAAGTTGCACGGCACGGCACGGGCTCTCTACAGGCAAGGTGCGGCAACAAAGGCAGGGTCCGACCTCTTCATGCGAAGGCCAAGGCCTCGTTCTAGGACTAGGCCGTACTTCGCCTCAGCGGCCACCCGGTGTCGGTAGGACACATAATCCTCGACCGTGTTCCACTGCACCCAATGAATGACCATGTTCTCAGGGATAACAGCTGAGCGATCACCCAGCACGTCGGTGAACCACACCAAACCACCGGCTCGGATGCCTGACAAAGTCCAGAGCTTGCGAGCTATAGTCCAGTCGCGAATGCGCATGAGGCCCGAGATCCTGGTGCGGCCGACCTGCGCAAAGCCCCATGTGTCGATGATCATGGCCTGTTCCCCAAACCCTAAACCCTCAACCCTAAACCCTCAACCCCTAACCCTAAACCCTCAACCCTCAACCCTCAACCCTAAACCCTAAACCCTAAACCCTAAACCCTAAACCCTTATACAAAGCCCTCAGGCCCTGATTCTCGGAGGCTCCTTGGGCTTCGGTAGTGTCAGCGCGGCAGCGAAGGGCACCGCGGGCAGCGCAGCGGATGCTTCTGGGTTCAGGGTTTAGGGTTTAGGGTTCAGGGTTTAGGGTTCAGGGTTTAGGGTTTAGGGGCTTCTGGGCCGCGCTTACTTCGAGGATCGTGGGACTTAGTAACTGGGGCTCCTTAAAAGGGTTCCTTAGAGGGATCGATAGGGGTTTAGGGGATGTTTCAAGGATCATGGGACATAGTAACTAGGGTTATAAATATGGTAACCATACTTATAAGTATTTATAACCCCAATTAAAGCAGCTATAACCCTACTTATAACTACCCATGAACCCCAAGTACGGGAACCCTGGCTTTCTGGTTTAAGGCTTTGGGTTTGAGAACCTACTGTTTTGTAGCGTTTGGTGTCACAAGTAGGCCCTACCTTAAGAACCCCAAACCTACTTTTTGTAGGGTCCCTATAAATCCCATATTAGGGTTTATAATAAGAACCTACAAAAAAGTGGGTTTTGGGTTCTTAAGGTAGGCTAGTAATAGAGTTTCCTGTTTTGGTAACTCCTCAACAAGAACCCGGTCATGGGTGAATAGAGGCATGGCATGGAGCATCTTGCCATGATGCGTTGACAAGGGCAATCCAACTCCTGAACCTATATGGGGGTTTCCGAAAATAGGGGACCTTAATATAGTAGCCTAAATAGTAGGATCCTTATTATAAGGACCCCAAAATAAGGTACCCCTTGTTTTCGGAAACTCCCATATGCCTATCAGCCCCGTGGAGCCAATACAAAAACAACATCTTCAATCAACCCTTGGCACGAGGGCTCTTGCTAGAACAAGACTGGCAAATGTCAGTGATACCCCAAACCTTATCAGCCCTCCAGGTACCTTTCAGACGGACCTCATAAGAATCAGTAGAGGCATTACGTACACCCTGGAGAGCCATTTCCGAAACAGTAAACCCTGATAATAATCCCCATTGGGGATGAGAGTAGAGTTTAGCTTAAACCATTGACTCCGTAAGCCCTACTGTACGGGCCTCAATCATCATAATAGGGTTTCGGAGTTTTTGTTTTTATAGTAGACAGAGCCCGTACCCGGAAAATCCAGCGAAGCTTCATTAGCAACTCTGCTTTGAACCATTGTGTTACGCCCTTGGGAATTGAAGGTACGCGACTTAATTAAGGGGTAGTGGGCTAATTACCCTAAACCCTAAACCCTAAACCCTAAACCCTAAACCCTAAACCCTACATTCAGCCTACAGCTCTTCAGGCCTTGCGCCACCTCCGCCACGCGATTGCGCTGCAGGCGCCGTGCGCGGAGGGCGGTCAACGCCGTGAGCGCCCCCGGAAGGTCGTCCTTGGGCATAGTATATGGCCCTTAACAACTACTTATATTTTTTGGGGGGGACTGCTGTAAAAAAAAACCCATTACTTATAGTTTTTGTTGGGGGGTGCCTTATAATAATTACGGTAGTATATGCCCCGAAACCCTATTCTAACTAAGGCCCCTACATTAACAACCGCAAGACCCTAACACACCCGAAGCCTACATCTCGTCAACTGTATCCTCAAACCCTGAACCCCTAACAGAACAATCCCTAGAACCCCCTTTTCCCCCCAAAAGCCGCATTTTTTTAAGAGGGATTCCGAAAGCCATCTCGAAACCTCGAAACCCTACTTGGAGGCCCTTTTGACTTAGTAAGCAGGGTTAGTAAGGTGGGTTATGGGGATTATCATAGGGCTCCTGGGGGATACTAAGTAGACTTACTAAGTCAAAAGGGCCTCCAAGTACCCTACACCCTAAACCCCCTGAATCCCAAAGACACCATCAAATCCCCCACCCCCCCAAACACCACACCCGAAATCCGAATTCCGAAAGCTCTTGTAAGGCTAAACAAACCGCCTCAAAACCTGAACTCGTTGACCCCGAATCCGGATTTCCCTGAAAGCCCAAAGGCCCCTGGTTGGAGGTTTAGGGTTTGAGATTAAGGGGTTTGGGGTTTAATATTAAGGGTTAAACCCCCCCCCCCCCCACCCTGCAAAACCCCCAAACCCTGTGGAACCCCTTATAAGAGGTCGCAGGCGCACCCAAAAAACCTGGACACGCAGTTTTTTTGTTGTCGCCAGTTTCTTGAACGGATGTGAACGGATGGCATCTGGGTAGATGTTATCACGGCTGCTCTACGGAACGGATGACGGTGGGCCCATGGACGCAAGGGGAAGAAAGCAGGCTCTTATCTTCCCGTTAACCCTGAGAAGAACACTACACTACACCCCCCAAAACGGCCGCAGACTGTCCTTCCCCGTCTGCATGGCCATGACCTCCCAATGCATGGCACTGCCGAAGCCCAGGTCCATGACCTCCAACCCTAAGGATTTCTAGTAAAAGCCAGAAAGTTCGTATGGTAGGGCTTAGGGCTTATAGGATTGAGGGTCTTGGGTGTTTGGGCTCACGCTTTAGGGTTGAGGGCTTTTGAGATGTGGATTGTTGGTTCTGAATGAAAGGGTTTAGAGTTCAGGGCCTAGGGCTTAGGGTTGAAGCCTAAACCCTAAACCCTAAACCCTAAACCCTAAACCCTAACACTTCTCGAAGTCTTGCATCACCCGTGCAGACTTCAACCCTAAACTTTAAACCTTGGGCCCCCAAACCCTAAAGCCTAAATCCCTGACCTAATATAGGGGCCTTAAGAATTACCTATACTATTTTGGGAAATTTTGGGGGGTTCCGTACCTATAAGTATAGTATAATGGGCCCCCAAACCCTGCTCTAATTATTAAGGCCCCTATATTAAACAAAGGGGTCCGGGAGTCTGTGGACGCATGTGACGCAGGGGCCTTAATCATGCGAATAGGGGTTTGGGTTCCTGCTTAATGGAAGTATACAAATGGTTAATGTAAGTACAATAAGGCTTGTGAGTTCAGGGTTTAGGGCGGAAAGAAAGCAAGATATACAAACTGATTGGACCCTGGATGAACAAGCAAATAGAACCGACAGCTTGACTACAACCCCAGCCCCAAAGCTCTAAACCCTGAACCCTAAACCCTACTCTAGACTCTAAACCTCAAGACCCAAGGGCAAAGGTCAATACAATGGCATTCCGAAGCCTGATACCCAGAGACTCGAAAATCCCCTGTGAGGGGGTCCCTCTGTATTAGGGTTTAGGGTTTAGGGTTTACAGTTACTATAGTATGTATTTGTAAAGATATCATGCTTACTTGAACGGTGTTGGAGTCCTGGAGCAACGCAAACCCTCAACCGCCCTTTGCTGGGCATCAAGCCACAGCAATCCCAGTCCCGTTTGGGAAGTGCTCGAAGTCGGCAGAAGCCCCTGCAACGTGGAACTGATCAACAAATGCATGGCTGTAGGCGCAGTTGACAGTGTTATCTGTTGAATTCCAGTGTTTGCTATGCGCTTCTCAAGGTTTACAGCCTTTGTACTTTAGGGTTGTGGGTTTGGCATCAGAGATTCCCAATACTCCGTGCTAAACCCTAAACCCTAAACCGGAACCTTCATGAAATTGCAAGGCATTCGCTGTGGGAGTGTGAAGCGGATGATCGGGAGCTTACGGCTTCAGGGTTATGTAGGGGCCTTAAAAATTGGAACAGTTTTTTTTTTTTTTT